CGGGGACGGGACGGGGGCTGCGGGCCGCACCGCGTTGTGCGGGGCCGCAGGGCTCGGAAAGCGTCTCCCTGCGCAGACCGGCACTGCTGGCACCCGCCTCTCGCCCGGCGCTACACGTCTCATACCAGTTTTCACAGTAACTCACCAGTCTCAACCGAGTAGCGTGTGAGAAGCTTTCCCGTAGGAGCTAAGGTGGTAGAGCCAAGCCGAGTCGCCATTCTCAGTGTGCGTGACTCTGGCACTGTGTATTTCTGTATGGAGAGGGACTTGTCTCATGCAAAGGCCTGTTAAGGATATGGATCAGTTGCAGGAAGCACACCTTACATTTTAAATAACATTTGGCACGTGAAAACGAGCAAAGCCAGCACGTGTCCCTTCTGCGATGAACACGACAGCTGAAGATCTGCTAGCAGAACAGGCAGGGTGAGAAGCGGCGAGAATGGACGGCCAAAGAGGAGGAGGAGGAGGAGGCAGGAGCGAAGTTCAGGAGTGAAGATGGCGGCCGTGGTCCTGGGCCAGGCTGGCCTCGCCCGGCTTGTGGAACCTGCTGACTCCCCAGGGCCAAAGGGGCATTTCACAAAAGCAAAATCACCTAGACTTGTAAAAGCCTGCTCATTTTTCTTTGGGGTAGTAGAAGAGAGGTTGGTGGGGTTACAAGAAATCCGTTATAAATGTTAGCTTCATTTCAGCTGGGGTTGCTGGGTGTTTTACAAATTTGCTGGTAAGAGAGGAAAAAGGAGTGCAATTCCTTTGAAGTCTGGTAATGCCGTTCTGTACATAGTTGGTTATGGCAGGCTTCCACTTAGCGTGGTCCGCAAAATGAAATGCGTGATCTCTGAAATCTTGATGGAAAGAGGGTATCAAATGCAAACTTTTGAATAAAAATGTTAAAAAGGGGATAAATATTTTAATAGATTATACGAGGTGAATCATAAAAAACCTCAAATGGAATCAAAAGCTAAACCTAATTGCAGAAAGTTTTGTACACCATTTTGTCACCCATGTATCTAATACTAGGTTGTGTGAGGATTGAGACTGGGGGAGAAGCTTTGGCTGTGTGAATACAGGGAAGAGCTGTAAATTAAATATTACCTTTGGTAAAAGGATCTTGGAACCATTCTAGATGTTCTCTGAAAATGTTTTCAGAGTTTACCAAAAAGTCAAAGAATATTTGAATTTAGTTGAGAACAGAACAGAAAACATGACTATGTTAACAAATAAATCAGTGGTATGTCCACAGTGCACATTGACTTGATCACTTGATTTTCATAAAAACAGTCATTTTTGAAAGAAAAGATAAAAAACAAAACCAAAAAAACAGAAAATGTCAATTGCGTGATACAGTGTAGGATATAGTCTCTTCACATATTAAAATTCTGTAGTTTGGAATCGAAGTAGCTGAGTGTTTCTTAACAGATGGATAAAATCATTTTAGTCTGAGTTTGTGATTTGTGACTTACTTTAAATATTCCCCAGCTCATGAAAGCACTCTTGGAGTTCGTGCAAATGTTACAATGCATGTGAAGTTTAAGTATAATGTTTTTTCCTCATTTGGGAAATAGGCATACGTGGTTATACATTTCTGTAAGATACTTGTTTGATAGACTATAATACAGAAGAAAGGAAGAGGAGTTATTTTCCTAACTTAAAAATAGTCCATAAAAACTAAAAGCTTTTTAACAGTTGAAACCAACACGCACTTGTGTGTTGAGAGTTACGGAAATACGTAACGTGGAGAAGAATTCTAAAGAAGGTCTTGGTTAATAAGAAGTTGGCCAGTCTGCCAGAATTAAAAAAAAAAAAATCTGTCATTGTGAATAGAAACACCTTTTACTAACAAATTCTAAATGCTGCAAGGTATTGTTGGGGAATATAAATTAAAATAGGGCATGTAAAATCCAAGAAACATTTTTAATTCCTTTGATGTCTTTAATCAAACACAGTTTAGGTTGGCTAATAATAATCTTATTTAGCTTGTTTGATGTTCATGTATTTTATTTCTTTGAAACTCATAGGGCCAAGCTGTGAAAGTATCCTGTGGTCATCAGCCTATATTTTTGAGCTGGATGGAAATCAGGCGTCGAGGTCACCAGGGTGAAAATATTGCAGAGATTAACAGGCAGTTAGCAGAGAAACTTGGCATTACGGATGGAGAGCAGGTTTGAAATGCAATCTTTTTTTCTTACTTAAATAAAGAGTATATTGCAAGATGCCTGAAAAGGTAGTAATTTATTAGTTAGCTATGATCTTCTTGTTTCATGTATTTAGACAGTGATTTCGTTTGTGTCTGCTCATAAGAAAAGTTAACCATCATGTAATGTCTTAAACATGAAGAGATTTGCTCATTAAATCATTAACAATTGCCTAAATAATGTTAGGATAGGTTTGTGGGTGGGTCTTTGCAGGGCTGGAGCCACTATCTGCAGTGCCATTCATTTTGGGAAAATACACTTTTAAGCAATTAAACTATTTGGGAATTACATTATGAGAATATTTTGCCTGGAATTCCTGTTACTTTAAAGTAATTATTGACTTACTGCCTGTTTCTTCTTGTTTGACCTATCTGGGGTTTAAATTTTCATCCCCTTTTTTTCCCCCCTTTGCTGTATGTCCCTGTGTGTCCTCTCTCTTTGAATGTTTATTTAAATTGACCTCTTACTCTTGGACACTGTGTTAAACTTCTTGTAAACGATTCTTTCACTGGACAGAAGTTGATGAGATACCCAAGAGGTAGGCAGAGTTTTCTGACATGGGACTATTAAAATCTTGACATGCAAGGGTTTTTTTTATATTGATAGGTAGAGATTTAAACAAGAACAGAAAAGTATTAGTCTGCACAGTGTTACTGTGTAGTATATTCATGTATGCCTGTTGTCTCACATGGAAAATTTTATTCAGCAGAACAGAAGACATCAAAGAGTGTGGCTCAAAGCAGTGTATTACCTTACCTTGTTTACATTTTTAGCATATTCCCTCTAGAAATTATGTATCTACTTGCAGAACTTTGCAGTTTACTAGTTCAGTGTCAAAGTAACTACCCTTTTTTGTTGTAGCAATTAATAGCCTTCAACAGAAAAACAATTGACAAAGGAAACCTAAGAAAACCTTACCCAACTGTTGCCTGGAAATACTCATCTGTACAAGCGAGTGAATAAATGAATATTTATGTCGTTTTGCTGTTGTTTTGGATTCAGAATTGCATGTTTTCTGTGTTTCATGATAATATGCTATTCTATTTACCATATTGGGGAAACAATATTCCTCTCAACTTTTCCATTGAACTGAGGACCTAGAGGAATTTGGAATCAGTTGTTACTTTTATAAAAGTGGGCCTGAAATAAATCTATCTCAGAGAACAGGTAACTAGTGTTATCTCAAGAGAAATTTAATCAAGTTTATTTTAAAATGTATGACGATGTTGTTTTAAAATTGTTGCTTTCTGTCAGATGGAACCTTTGGTTAAAATTAACTTCTGAAATTTGTTTAAGGCTTTCTGAAAAGCCTAAGTCACAATAGCTTTTCTCATTCCTCCTGCTACACAGGACCTTAAAACAGTTCTGTGGAACTGGGGCTGCTTCCTGTGAAAGCATGCATAAGGGAGCTGATTTTTCTGTTGTATTGTACTTCTTCCTCATTTCTTCGTGTGTTTCTGCCTTATCTGAATTTGTGCACAACTTGACGAATTTTTCAGCATTCTAGAATCCACGACACTTAAAAAATAAAAATGAAAAAATGCAGAGACGATTAGGTGATGAATATGCATTAAAAAGTGATTGTTTGTTATCAGCTGGTAACTCTCTTGATGCTTTTCATGTTTCCTTCCATTCACAGTGTGTGGAACTCCCCCAGCATGCCCAGTGCAATCCATTTCCAGTATGCTGAACATCCATCTTCTGTGTGTGAATTACCTAGTACGATGAAGATGTATATTCAATGTAGTGAAAACGTATAGTGAAGGAGATGTCACTTTTCTGGTTGATTTAAAGATGGAGCTTTTCTGTGTTTAAAAATAAGAAGTTAAATATTTTTTGTAACGGTGTTACTTTTGCCAGGTATTTCTTGAACCCTGTTCCCACGTCTCCTCCTGTCAGCAAGTAGAAGTGGAACCACTCTCAACGGATGACTGGGAAATTCTGGTAATAAAACCTTTTCCCCTGTTTACGTCCTTTTCTAACAGATGACAGAGATTTTGGCACAAGCAGTTTTTTGCACAATCCCCCATTCTTTTCAGCTTTTAAGGAAATACTAAATGTGGTGGGGTTTAATTGTATTTTACATTTCAAATGGTGCATTAGAGAGAGACGTAGAGTTTTTATCTTCAAACAAATGTTAAAAATCTATGCAGTATTTCATTTTATAATGATATCACATTTCCCCAGGAACTGCATGCTTCCTCTCTTGAAAAACATCTTCTTGACCAGATTCGGATCGTATTTCCAAAAGGCATCTTTCCTGTATGGGTTGAACAGCGCACTCACGTTTACATCAAAATTGGTAAGCAACAGTGAAGGCTGCTGTGGCACCTTGAGTAACCTGTTTTGCGGGAGTGGATGCATTCATTGCCCTGCTTTGTTTGTACTCAGGTACGCTTATGCCAGCAGCCCCCTGTGGGAGATTAGAGCAGTGCACGGAGCTTCTGATACTTCCCAAAATACGTGAACTGGAGGAAAATATCACCAGCACGCCTTCCAGAGAAAGTGATGCCTTGCTCAAAAGTTTCGTGAAAAATAACATGGAGCAAGAAGAAGCAGTAAAGGATCCTTTTGCCAAACAAACTTACTTAAAGCCAGGAGTTCTTGAACAGAGTAAGGCTGATGCAGACGTGATGTTTGGCTCAAATGTTCTCCCAAATATATGGAATTTCATAGGGAGCATTTTCTGTCATACATCCGAGCAGAAACAAAAGACACTGTGTGATAAAGATGAAGTGAGCACCTTCAAAGACAAGCTGCTGAACTTAATTCACATGGATTCCATTTTTAGAGTGTGTCAGTCCCAGCCTCCCAGCGTACAGAATGCATCCGCCTCTCATGCATTTCTGAAATGCAATGCTATTCATGTTTTTCCGTGGAATTTAGAATTTGTTGATTTGGATCCAAATCCTGTAGTGTCTTATGGGAAAATTAATGAGCTACTTTCCCCAAGACAGCGTCATCAAGAAGCAAAGCAAAATCTGCCATTTGAAAAGCAAAAGAATTTGACTAGTACGCAAGACAAA